GGGGGTGCCTGCCCATGGACTCTCACCCCAGCAGTGACTGAGAGCCCCCATTATTCACGTCAGACTCCTCCACACCGGGGCCCAAACCAGAATCTCGTTTCTTCTCCACGCACTGCCGTGGGGTGCCCTACCCCAGCCTAGCGCGTGCTGGGCCCTGAGAGGGGGCTGCCCCCAGCGTGATACTCACTGGCACACGGGCTCGTGGTCACGCGGGTGTGTGCAGATGCCGTGGTTTCTGCAGTAGTCTCTGTGGCACACGGACGTGCAGCTGGCATTGCCGGCCCCACTGCTGATGCACTCAAAGCCGGCGTGGCACGAGAAGAGCACCGTGCACAGGTCCAGCTGCCTCTCTGCAGACAGACAGACAGACAGACAGACAGTCTAGAGAGCTGCAACACCCTGCTCCCAACCCCCACCTCCCCAGAGGAGCCAGAGGGCACAGAGCGAGCCCCCCTGGGCTCGGCTTCTCTCTCTGCCACAGGCTCGCCAAGACGCTGGGGAAGCCCCTTTCCTCCACCAGGCCCACCTGCACGGGGGGCGCTCTGCTCTGCGAGGAGCTGCTAGCGAAGCATCAGCGCGAGAGAGCAGCTTCCCCCAGAACGCGGCCACAGAAACGGCCCCTGCTCGCCCCAGCAAGGCCATGGCACTCCCTGCCTGCGCCCGCAGCCCTGCAGAGCCAGCCTGGCTGCATGGGGGGGGCAGCCAGCAGGTCTGGGGCACAACACGCACTGCCTGCGAGGTCCCCAGGGCAGCTCCCAGAATGAGAAGCCATTCCAGGGCGTGCTGAGACGCGTGGGGGCGGGGGTTGTGCACAGTGCTGAAGGGATGGTGAGGGCCTGGAGGGTGCAAGGGGCTGCAGTTGGGGGTGGGGCACACCACGATTGGGCAGGGAGGGGAGCAAACGGAGCCATGGCAGGAGGGCTGGGGGGGGAAGACACAGAAGCCAGTGAAGCCCCAAGCCCATGCCCAGGCCTTGGCAGCAACTCTATGCCCTGCTGCCACGCGCCCCGAGCGACTCACCCAGGACCACGTTCCACAGCACGGGGGCACTGGCGACGTGGAGACCCGAGCGGGTGGCGCCCGACAGCACCGTCCGGTTTAAAAGGGCTCCCAAGCCCTGCACCTGCCCATGCAGCCGCTCCACAGCGAAGAGGGCATCGTATTCCAGCACCACGCTGCCTCTCCTGGGGCAGGAGCCAGAGAGACGGGTCAGAGCCAAGCCTCAGGAGCAGCCGGTCCCTAGCCAAGCAAGGGGGGTGGGGCTGCACTGCCTCCCAGCTACCCCTGCTCCTCCTCCAGCTGCAGGATCAGGGTCTGACCAGGGGGGCAGGTGTGCAGGGGACGCCACGGGCTCTGACCCAAAGTCACAACAGTGTGACGGCAACACAGGACAAGCCGAAGCCCGAGCTGTGCACTTCCCTCTCCCCACCCGTGCGGGGGTTGCTGCCCGGACCCCTGCACACGGACAGGAGCTGGGCTGCCGGGCACGCTCCTACCTGATCCGCATCACTTCCAGGCGCTGGAATCCCGGCACAGCTGCGAAGAGGGGCGCCACCTGTGCAGGGAAACAGGGAGGAGGCGCTTTGTGACGAGATAATTGGCCCCAGCTGCAGGGGACCCCGGTGTCTGAGCCCACAGCCTCCCATGGCGATGGTCACTGGGCAGCGTGCTCCCTGCCCTGCCGCACTACCGCCATTAACCACCAGGTCAGCGCCCGTGCGACAGCCCCGCCCGCCCCAGCGCCCCCCGGACTCACCGTCTCATTGAAACGCTGCACCAGGCTGCGATGCGCATGCGACGCGGGAGTCTGGAAGGCGCCAAC